ATCACAGTTAATGGGAGAGGGGGTGCCACTCAAAGAATTCATTAAAACAGAGCAATAACGCTAATGGAGGATTTGAACAAAGATCCAGGCCCTGTTAAAGATGGGTGTGGCCACAGGCTTTTCAAATGGAGGGGAGACGCTTCCCCCCAGTCAGGTTGCACATGTGAAGTGCTGGGACCGACAGCAGCAACTCTGTGCCCTCTCTGAGGGGTGTGTGCTGTTCCATATTAATGACAAAGACAGCAGCGGGAGCAAGAAGTCGCTATCATACACTCATTTGTTTAAAAAGAGCAAGCGTCACAATACAGTCAGTGGGAGACCACAGGAATCCAGTGAAAGCTGAGGGATGCTTCGATGACTAAAGACCGAAACAACCTCACTTTTAGTCCCCGACCCAAGGACCAATCTGGGGTGCCACTCCTTGTTCACCAAAACCACGAGTGGCTTCGTGCACATCAATGGGGGCTTTCCTGCATAAATAAGGAAGAAGCACCACTGCATTGCACAGTTATCGCTCTCTCATGTTGTTAAGTCTTCCTTTATAACTGAAACAATGGAACTGTGGTGCCTCTTCTCAGATAACAAATAAACCATTATTTAAACGACAGTGACAAACAAGAGAAAAGGGGGGAAATGAGACATTAATCTGTCTGGTAAAGTATCATAAAGACTCCTCTCACTTTATTTCACTCAGTGTAAGCATGCGAGTTGTAAAGCGGAATGTATAAAAAGTCAATAAAGTGCTAAATTTAAACAATTTTCTGAACCTGAGCAGTTAATTGAAATAAGAAATGGACAACTGAAAAGGCAATTTTGGCTGAGATTATAAAAATGGAATATATCGCACACTCAGGCTCTGAAAGTAGGGCAAGCCAATCACCAAAGTGTAATTAAGATTCACTTGCTGCTGTTTTACTGATAATCCCTTGTGTAAAACTGTCACAGGCGAACAAAAGACCTTTTTCCTCATTGAGTCATTGCCTGAGAGTGATTACTTCTGCCACCCAAGTCCTTTCATTTTCTCAAGGCAAAGCCACTCATACATCTCCCAGCTTGGCCAGTCCAGCAGAGAGGGAATTGCTCTGTCTGACATGTAGGAAGCTCAGCATGTTCACGCACTCACCCATATTTCTCGACGCTGTCGCGCTACATCTAATCTGAAGGTGACGTTTGTTTTGGCAATCACATTTTAGAAGGAATTAAAAGTATTGCAGAAATCTTTAAGTGAATAATAGGACTGCAATTTGAAAAAGTTATCATTAAGCTTAGAGACGGGAACAAGCTGTTCTTGCGGCAACTGTACACACAAACAGGAATCATAAAAAGACCACCCCCCTTCCTCCCCGCACTCCTCCACCTGTTCAGTGTCCTGCTGGGGGCCGAGAGAAACCAGAGTGTGGTTGGAGTGCGCCTCTGTGTGTGTGTGTGTGTGTGTGTGTGTGTGTGTGTGTGTGCACCGCTGCAACCCTCTGCGTGAGGGGGGCAGAGCAGACAAAGACCAAAAAGAAATTAGTATTACACTGTTTCTATCGAACTGCACTACATTAGAAATACAAATAGCCAAGCTCTTTTTTGCACCACTGAGCACTAAAGCTCTCGGTGTACTGTATGTGGGTAGGCTCAATGCACCACGCCATATGGTACGGATGCACATTTGTCATAAGCATCGTTTCTCTGGGGACAAGCTAATGCACCGGCCTGGTTTCTTAGAAACTGTAACATCCAAAGCCTTTTTTTTTCTTCCTCTCACAGAAGTAGAGCAGGTTAATGATCGCCTTTTATGTGAGCTTTCCTAGTTTAAGATTTGCAATGAAACCCTGCTCTTTGCTCTTTCGTGACACATCAAAGACTCTAACAGCTTTAATTTCATCGTAACCCTGGGTTATTTTAAGTTTCACGCAAAACTTCCATCTTTATTTTTAGTTATTTTGGAATTTAAAACGTCGTTTAAAAAGTTGTGACTGCTTATTCCAGAGAGATCCTCACATTCCCGCTATAAAGGCCTGCTGCCAGGGGCGCTGTTAGGAATTCTGCACCCCCCGTTGGGAAGTGACACTGGCCTCTCCACCATAATGCGGCTCTAATTTACAGTATGACCTCGCCTGTCTAAACGGCCCTCTCTTGTTTGAGGAGCCCTTTTGTTTTGTTTTTTCCCCTCCTCTCCATCAGCAGCAGCAGCAGCTCTGCCTGCTGCTCAAACTTCCACTTCTTATTCTGATCGAGACCCGAGGAGCACATGATGCACACAAACAAGCGCACAGAAACCCAAGTCTCTTGTGTGAACATCTGTCTCTTTCTTATATCTCACTTGCTTTGTGCTTCTTGGGTGAGTAATAGCATCTGCTTCACTTTATACTCAATAAAATGGTCTTTTTCATCCGAAACACAAGAGCACTAACTGTGTGATACCAGAAAAGATTCCACTTCACACTTTGGCTCCACACATACGACTGAGAGTCCTTTTGAGAGACATTATGAGACACCAAATACGGGTTAAGCATCCAGCAGGATAATAACGTATAGATATCTCTTTTGGGACTATTTGAAGCATTCCTATTATAATAAGTGAGATATATTATGGATGAATGGAAGGTTTGCTCCCTTTATTGGCTTAAGATGTTGCCAGTCAGATTACTCCTATATGATGGTCCAAATTAGGCATTTAAATTTAGCAGATTGTCTTCTTTTCCCATGCATTGGCTCTACTTTGATTACAGAATGGGATTATGTTCTCTACATTTGCAAAAACGTGGCCATTTCCAGATTTTGATCAACAAATGGCTCAGCCACTCGAAGAGATTAGGCCTCAAATTGACAGCAAGTGAAGTGCAGATGCAGGATTTCTATTCAAAGCCATGATTCGCTTGAGTTGTCGTCCTTCCCTTCAATGCATCTGAATTTTGCATGAAGGAATACAATACTTTCCAAGTCACAAAGAAATCTCTTTTCAAAGGAGAAACTACCACAAGCAGTCTTCAAACATCGAGAGGAAGCCGCCTATAAACAAGATGAGACGTGCACAAGCGCCCAAATGAACACTTGTACAAAATCTTACATGTATCTCAAACATACAATTAAAGCTGCTTTCTTTCTTTTTTTCTTTCCTCAGGAATTAACATCAAAACGTTCAAGAGACAAGTCCTGACACAACCTAGTTAGAGATGAAAGAAAGGAGAGTGAACCCATCTCCGGTGAAATTGGGTGACCCCTTCACCCCCTCACCCATCCCTCAACAGATTAGTCCATTAGCAAAAAAAAAAAAAAAAAGGGGAGAGCCCCACTTGCCTGACAAGTAATACCAGCTGTGGCACGGAGCACTGTCTGTCTGTTCAGGAGGGGAGGTGAGGAGGGTGGCGGCGGTGGTGGTGGGGGAAGGGTGGAGACAAGGCGGTGAACAAAAAACAGATGCATCTTTCTGGAATATTTGTTCCAGGACTAATTCAGGACTCTCTCCCCCCCTTCTGTTGTGTCTGGTAGCAGCCATGGCGCGGCCTTCAGCGAAGCAAATATAATAAAACACAGGCTTGTTTTTTCATTACAAGTATTGATGCAGTTTTTATTGCAAATCCAAAACTCAATAAACACCTTCAGGCAGATTCTGCTCACACTGAGCAAATTGGCAAAAGAAAACCGGACAAGTTTCGCTTCACCTTTTGCCCTCTCTCCTTCACGCCAACTGTGGTCTAAGCAAACACGCATGTTTTCACCATCACTTGAGGCCACATGTGTAAATACGCAGCAGCGTGGACAACCGTAAAGTCTGCCCTCATTACCCACTCAGAGCACTCTCCTCCAGTGCTCTGAGCACACGGCACTGCAGCGGCACAGCCGTGTAAAAACACTTTAAAAAGCCCATTCGTTTCCTCTCAAACAAACCACCTGAGCTTGACTGATAGGTGCTGTATGGTGTTAATTTACAACAACAGGCGCCACCGTTGTGTGACGAGGTGAAGGGGAGCAGGGTGATATGAGCCACTCCGCCTCTTTCCTACCCAAGGAAGCACTTGAAAGCCTATGGATTTGCCTATGGCCTGGCTGAGTGACACCAACACATGGCGCTGCTACCTGTTGGCGTGACAGAGGAGACTGTATGGAAATCTACAAGCACACTACATACCACGCCCAACATCAAGAGCACGTTCTCAAAAAAAGAATCATCCTTTGTCATGGTTTCATCACCTTGAGGGAGGGAATAGCGAAATCATAAAAATCCAGCTTAGAAAAAACACTGAAAGCACAACAGCTGCACTGAAATCACACAGAAAGTTCCAAATTTCTCTGCTAAAACTTAATCACTTGTGCAAGCCATTACAACTGCCCACATCCCAGTGTAATTACTGGAAGGAGCCTGTCAGAAGTGCTTCCCTCCACCTAACAGACAGCCCATAATTAAAATAAATCATACAGGATGTGAGCCAGCATCATTCTGCTCAGCAGCCCGTGTTAACAGAACACACACACGCACATAAAAAAAGAGACACGGTGGTGGTTATGACATCATGGCTTGAGCACATGTTAACACTGGGTGAGGATGACCACCTCACAATGGGCAGTTTATAGAGAAGAAAAGTCACTTTTAAAGACATGAGCTGAATGCGGAGGACAGTTTTACCTCGAGGTGAGGAGTTGTAGGAAACTACTTAGTAATTAATTTTTTTTTAAACAGATTACATACTTAGGTGGTTCAAAACTTAACACAATGGAGAGAGGAGGCCACGAAGTTTGTGGCTCATAGGAAGCCCATTTAGTTTCTTTTCTTAAAGAAAGGGGACGTGTTAGTAGCCTGGTGAATCACATGCTACTACATAAAACTGTACTGCAGGCTACTAACTTATAACTACGAAACACCCACATTCCTGTTTCCTTCTCTCCCCGGGAATGTGATCGATAAGCCCGGGCTGAAGTTTTGGAGGCACCTGCGTGCTGCAGGTACGGGACTTTCCCCTCGTACCTGCGGCTTCCAGCGCCACAGCCGCCCGCTCGGTGAGACAATAGCTTACCTTGGCTGAGAAGCGCGATGAGGAGGAGGGCAGACGCGTAGCCGGCCGACAACAAGTGCATCCTTGCGAGTTTCACAGATCCTCAGTGGGCTCTTCCAGAGGTTTGTTCAAAACGCACACACAGTTTGGTTTGAGTTTTTTTGTTTTGCGTGTTTTTTTGGTGGATTGATCTAAATCGTCCTCGCGAGCCTGGTGCTGCACAGCCGCAGTTTCACTTCTTTTTGGCTCTTGTTCCAGCGTGGCATGTGCTCGCCAACTCGCGCTCGCGTCAGTTCTGGTGGAACAGGTAATTGTGAGGGGCTCGCGGACGAGCGCGAGGGCGGGGGATACTGTCTGCAGCTCCGCCCCTGAGATGCCGCCCCCATCCCTTCTCCCTCTTTCCACCCACTCCACCTTCCCCTCCTGAGCCAACCACCCTCCCACCACCACTTCCTCCCTTCCCCTCCAGCAACATCCTCCCTCCCCTCCTCCTCTTCCTCCTCCTCCTTCACCTCCTCCCACACACAAGTGCACCCCACCCCAGCTCTTTCTTTAAGACCCCCCTCATGTCTCCCCTTGCACCCCCCACCCCACCCCTCACCCTCCTTCTCTCATCTGAAACTCCTATTTCCCTCAAACCCTCCCACCCATTCTCTCTCTTTCCAACAGTCACCACCATCCTGACTTCACACACACACACACACACACACACACACACACACACACACACACACACACACACACAC